CTTGGGTTTTTCATGTTGCTGCAAGTGACACACTTTTCATGCGCGTGCCTACAATTAACAACAAAGGGCAGTTTACTAACTACTGCGTCAACATTACCCACTCTTACTTAGAACTGGATTTTAAAAGGTTTCGATTACAACATTTCAATATAAATAAGTCTCGAATTCAATTTGCTGAAATTTTTGTGCCTCTAAATTTTTTGGAACATCTCTCAAAGATACTTGCTGATGTGGGTACATGCAAAAACTCAACTGCTTCACTATCAAAACTTCTTGCATTTGGCTGACTCACTCTCCCATCCAAATTTCTGTGCAATATGACTAATCCCTAAAACAACGGCAGGTAAAATACAGCCCGCAGGCCATATTCAGCCTGCCAAATCATTCCATCCAGCCCATGGGGCATCGACAAAGTTTAGAAAATTAATATTTATCTGCTCCAGGCTCCCTGTTAAACAATGACAGGAGACAGGGGCAGTAGGACCCAGGAAAAGCCAGCAAGAGTTAGGAGAAAGGCCAGCCCAGCTGGGCCCCACCCTCACCTGCCTCCCACCCGGAAGTGTCTGCCTTCCACAGCTTTCCCTGCATGTGGCTGCTCCAGCACCATGTGGCCCCTGGCTGCATCACTGGACTGTGGGAGCAGGGGCATGCCAGTACCCTGGGGCCAGTGTGTGAGTGCGTGCATGCATGCACACACAATAAGGGAGGGGGAGAGAGAAAGAGAACAATGAGGCAAACACAGTGTGTGTGTGTGTGTGTGTGTGTGTGTGTGTGTGTGTGTGTGTGTTTGTAGGGTGAGTCCCACAAGTGCCCACCAATATACACATGCACCCATACCCCTCCTTGCACTGCCATACACACAGACCCCCACACCCCCTCACACAGCCCATCCACACTCCCCCTACACACGCTCCCCACAAACCCCACACCCACCCACACCCCACATATCCACACACACACACCCCCACAATCTCTCTGACACCATATCCTCCCCCACATACCCACCCATAGCCCCCCACAAACTTATACCTACCCCCACTCCCCCCCAGTTTACATGAGTAAGACTTCATTTTAAGCTATTGTGCGATCACCTCTATGTACCCTACACTAACACATGTAAATCAGGACAAAAAGATTTTCTGAAATCAAATTAATGAACATTGTAGATGTTTGATTTTTAGAATATAATTTAGTATTTTTTTGATTCTGAGATGGCAAAACCCCTTGCTGAAAGGAGTACCTCGGGGGGCAAGGAGAGGGGCTTCTGGTGGCAAAGGTTGGGGGTTAGGGGGCAGGACTTCCAGTCCCAAGATGGCAACCAAGGCGCGGGGCACCTGTGAAAACTTGGTAAGCAGCCCCTCGCTTGAAATAATTGCCCGCCCCGCACTAGAACCACATTTTGCCTCCTATCTTTGCTCACTCCTCTTCCAGGACTTAGAAAACAAAAGCCATTAATCTGCAGGACCTGAGTCAACAATTTATTAGCATCTCACTTCTAAGAATTAGATACCACTAGTAATATGTCTTCTGCTCCTGTTTTGTATTTGAAAAATATCGTGTTGCTGGGTATTGATTTCATTATAGCTTGTCTCTGCTAAATGTGTTGAATAATTAATACTATTTAAGAATATTAATTCTGAAACTATACCATTCAGTTATTTCATGACATCTTGATATAGGAAAACATGTTACCTCCTCCTTTGTCCTAATTCTCTCCCCCCACCACCCAGAAAGAAAAAAACAAAAGAAAAAAAATAGACAACAGAGGTATTTACTTTCTTCCCTCAAGGTAACTACTTTTCATTGTCAATAAAGAACACAATCCTATGAAGGAACTGACATATGCAGAACTTTAATAATACCATGTGGCAATTTCAAACTACAATGTGTGAATTTTGGAGAAAAGTGTGTCATAGACAATGATGCTGGATTTTGAAGAGATAGCCAAATATAATCAACACTATTAGCACTCATCTCTGCATATTTTTTGAATAGCTGTAAGACTGTTGGGCTATTTTGTTCTTATATAATCAAACCATACAGATTTATCACACAACCAGTATTTAAAATTAAGATTGACTTGATCAGGTTGTTGTATAACAAATGATTAAGGGTGATATGAATTAAATTGTGTTTTACTGTCTGATGTGTGAATGTCTACTAGTTATGCTTATGTAGAAGTTGCTTTAAAAAAGGTAGTTGTGCTAAGCCGAAGAGGACACTATAAGGCTTAGATGTTCATAATAAGAAAAGTAGCTAAGCTACAGGCTGCATGAAATGTTAGTTGTTCCTTTGTAAGGCCCCTTCAGCCATTAAAATGGTGCATAGAAATAGAGTGTCCCTGAGATACGGAATGGGCGAGTTGTTTCTTGAAATAGTTTAGGTAGTGAATATTAGGTCAGAAAAGTATTGGATGCAAGTGTTCATGAAACTAAAGAGAAATAATAGAGCAATGCAGAAACCCCCAAGAGAGGCAACATAAGACCCCTGAGAGGAGGCAGACTGACAGACCTGATGACAAAAGCCACCTTCCTGGGGGACTGATCTTTACACAGTTTTACTCTGTTGACTCCCCAGTGTAAATGAAACTTTTTAACTAAAAGGTAATAATGTACCTACTAATATTCTATTAAAAGTAGCTGCTTCCACTTAGTAAGTTTGCAAATTGGGTTTGGGCTTTGCCCTTCACCAACCAAGGGAAAAAGAATTATAAGCCACTGGTCTTTTGTTCATCACCAATAAACTTGAAGAAAGAAGATACAATTAAATAGATTCTAAAATTTATCTTGACTTATTCCCAGAGCTTTTTCTACAATCGATGTGCTTAAGTAAATCATCTCTCACGTCGTGAAACCGTGAATTACAGCACCCCCGCAACATAGGTGAAAATAAGATTCCAAACCTTTCGATGTCATGTCTAATACAACTGTAATATAGCATCAGGATATCGGACTTGTATTATTCATATTTTAATGGCATTTTGGTTGCTAGGTTTTAAATTGGCCTCAACAATTATTCACATTTCCTATATTAGTTCAATTAAAAAAATGATAAAAGCCACCTATCTGGAATCTATTTTTAAATAAGAATGATAAAAAAATAAATTAAATGAAACTAAACATAGCAGAAGTTTCCAAACCATTTCATATAATGATTATTTTAGAATTGTGAAAACAAAGAAGTCTCAGAAAAATGCTTGTTGCTCATGTTTACTGCTCTAATATCAGACACTTTAGAAGCTTCACTGATGATGGCTTACTGCCTCCAAATCTGTAACATGTCTTGCTGAGCAGCCTTTGGAGATCTGCGCTCTTTTGCTGCATGAAGTCTAAATGGTGGAAACTGCACTCTAATTTTTCAAAATCTCTGAAATAGCCTCTCTTAAATTAATTGCTTATTCACTATGATCTCTATCACTGACCTCTCTTCTAAAATCCTGCTGTGGAACCCTTTAGAGGTATACTCTAGTGGCAAAGGCTTAAGCAGACCCAGAAAAAATATTTAATAAAATCAAAAGGCAAAGTCACCATGGAAAACTGGAAGAGCTGGAGTATAGACTGGAAGGTTTTTGACTCAGTTTAAGCATTAATGTGTTTTTCAAGATTTATGCTGTCATCAAAATTCTTTGACAAAAACAGAACCTTCAAGCATATACATTAATATACTCACATCAGGTATACATATTCTCAATTTCATATTCAGATGTGAATACATTATTTTGGTTGAAAGTTAATACCATATTCTCTAGCCAGTACTTTTTATGTTTTAAATGTTAAGCCATTTTAATACCTATTCAATTTGAAAGACAATGGTGCCTTTAAACTATTAGAAAAATGGGGAAAGGAAGGGGGAAGGAGTAAAACCCCTATGAACGATTTTTAATTGCTTTTATAGATCTGTGAACATTTTAATGGCAATGAACATAGCTATCAGCAGTGGCATTTCCATATCTCATTTTCTTTTTTACCTGAATAAAATATATTCTCGTATTCCTATTAAAAGAATTAATTTTAAATTAGACATTTTTTGATATGATAATCTCTCCCAAAATGCAAGTTTTATCCAAGGAAAATAAAATTCTTCCTTAATCTGAAGACTGGGTCATATCTAAAGTCAAAAGGAAAAATATTATTTTTTTAACTTACATCAATTGGTAAGCTGTTTTCAACAGTCTGGAAAAAGTTCTACTTCCTGCTAATTAAGAAGTCTAGAGTAATCTATCCCAGTGATGTTTTATACTTAAATAAGGCTATTTATATATGTTGGAACAGTGCCAATCTACCAAAGACAGTATATAAAAAAAGGGTTAGTAGGGCCCTTCTCTCCTTGTTGTATTTAGGTATAGAGATTGATCCTGCAAAGAACTTAGCTGCTTGCATACAGCCCTATTTACATGAACAGATTTCAGGGAGATTACTCAAGGGCACACAGCTATGCACATGCTTGAGGTCTGATTCAGCCAAATATTAAAGCACATGCTCAAGTGCTTTGCATAATAGGAGACAGACTTAAAATCATGTTCTTACAACTAAACTTCAGAACATGACTAGAGTGCTTGACTGAACTGTGAAGAAACCAGATTTTTTCTCCTTTTATTTTCTAAGTGTGCTCCAGCTCCAGGGCAGGTTTAACAATGAATTAAAGAGCCATATAACAGCTCCCAAACTATGCCAGGAGAAGTGAACAGGAACCCTAAAATGACTCATGTACTTCAGCATGATGTCTTTCTTCCAGTAACTGAGAAGAGTTATCCTACCGTTATCTGGGCTTGCAAACTACAAAAGATCTTATGGATCATTCTTAATTTTGAAAGGTCTAACTAATGGATTTAATTTTAACTGAGCCTACAAGAACAAGCTATGCAGAGACCATTTCACAAACAATTTTTCAAAGCATACAAGATTAAATCCATATGCTGCTGGGATGAAGCACAATAAAGCATCACTGAGATAATCTATACTTAAAATGATGGTGTATGACTTATGATTAAGCTTCATTACCTGCAGAGCAAGGGGCTTCCATCTCATATTTTTCAGTAAAGCTGGTGCTGAGGTAAGCATGCTCTGAGGTCGCTTTTTCAAAGTTAAGATAACACCACTCGGGTCCTCTCGTAGTGCATTCACCAAATTTTTCAACTGCCACCCCACCTGGTAACCAGCAAAATCATTACAATAAAGTTGAGGTACAGTATTCAAGATGTAATGTTCCCTTTTTAATAAGGTTAGTAAATTAACATAATAGGTGTGTGCATGTGCCTGTTATATTTTAGAAGATTAACTCAAGAAATGTCCAAACTTACTGCATGAGAAACCACGTCAACTATAATAAGTATCACAATGTGTTAAAATGGATATGTACCATTTCAGCTACTAGAAGGAATAAACTACTGTGACACTACCATCAATGCACATTTTAATTTTATGGTCATTTTAAAACTAATAATAACAAAGCCCAAATACATTTTCTTACAGCAGCTAAAAGGTTAAAAAGCTCTCACTTCTGTTTCCTACAGTTTAACCTACAACTGATCAACTTATGCGTCATAATTATCTTAAAGTCTACTAACCATATGTTGCTACACCTCTTCTACTCTAATAATTCCAGCACTATTACTTCTTCAGACTGATGCAAGTATCTGGGATTCAGTGAAAAGTTCTACTATTTACAGTGCTATAAAAATAAACTAAAAGCAATAAGGCAGCTGATTTAAAGACTAGAGTATTTGTCATTTGATTACAAATAATCTTATAAACTTTAATTATACTGAATTAATAAATGAAATAAGCTGCTATTTGCTTGAATATCACTCTAAAGTACATTTTACCAATTAAATTACAACACTGTGAATATTATGAAAAACATTAATACAGGAAGATGAATTGTAAGTTATTTCAAAACACCCGGTAAACTTTTTTAATAATTTGCTGTGCGCACTTTATGAAAAAGAATGAATATGCATGGTCCACATGTACAATGTCAAAAGTGACTACGGATTGATTTTGGATGCCTAATTTGCAACATTTTTATGACAAATTAATTTTTAAAGATCAGGTACTCTGAATATCAGAGATGCTCTAAGGTATCTCAAGTTGGGCCATTAAAAGTAGAGATATTCAGCATCATCAGTCATTTGGAAATCTTGGTTTATCAATTTAGAAAGCTATGTTATTTAAACACACTTGTCATTTCTGTAGTCTTTGTATGTCCTCTTTGTTTAAAAGCACATTAAAACTGTGCTTTCCACTTCCTTTGAAAGATTATATTTAAAATATTTTCTATTTGTTGTTTTTTACAATAAATTACACAAAATTATATTTTCAAGTTTGGATGTGACATTTTGGCTGCATTAGCTTTAAACACAATGAAGTAAATACATATCATTTAAAGCTACCTTATAGCCTACTGGTAGAGAATTGTCATTAAGTATGGCACCCATGTTGCTAGTCACTGATCTAGTATTACATAAAATCTGTATGCTGTTTTTGCTTCATATCAAGGAATTTACTCCTGGACACACAAGAAAAAAACCCTCACACAGTGTATAACAGTTAATCAAATGGAAGGTATTGAGAAATGTGCAATGCAAGATGCTCAAATATACATATTATCAAGTCTGCGACTTTTGTTTTACCTGTGGTTTTTATGTTTTACCAGAATCTGTCCACCCTGCAGTACTTCCTGGAGATGTTGTGGAAATACAATTCATTTGTATGATTTCATTTGATTTGAGCATGCCAAGCCTCACATTGATTTTTCAGGAACCAGTTATTTTCAGAGCTGCTGCTCTGTGGAAGACGGCAGCCTAAGTCATCAAGAGTGTCAATGCCCATAATTTGAGGCACTGCCAGACTGATACTTCACATTCTTCATGTACTACAGCAAACCCAGTCATCCTCTCTCAATACCAAATTGAATTAAATGTTAGGTTCTCACTTTCACTAAACCCAGTATATATTTGTATAGTACTGCTCATACAAACAAAAAAGCAAAATACTGACAAAATTTCTCCCACAGAATTGTTCTCGGACTCCACATGCAAAAGACTTATGAGCATGGCTGGGACACAAGGGCAAGCCTTACCCTAGGGCTCTGTACTGCAACAAAACTAATAATTTTCTCTAGTACTTTTAATAAAAAAAGTTACATACAATTTTATGCAAAACTTGCGAAATTCATTTACTGCCTTGTTATAGTCTCCATTTTACCTTACGAATATCTGCAGCAACTAAAGGGTTAATATGTAAACATATAACTTATTGTTTTTAGTATTACTCTCCTATTTTAAGCATAGCCATCTTGCCTGCCTACAACAGTGCTTTCTGATTCACATAGCAATTTTGGAGATAAAAGGATTTCTTTAAAACACTAGTGCAATGGTTCTCAACCAGGATGTCTTAAGATCCTTTCAAGGGTCCTGTGGGATGCCAGGCCAAGCTAGCACTGTTAGGTGTGCAAGATAAACGGAGAGATTTCATATAAGAATCCAAAGTGTTAGAACCATTCTGACCTGTTGTGATCTTTCTTAGGTCTTTGCAACCAAAGAACTGCTCTATTAATTTTTTATAGTAAAAAAATCAAGTGAAAACTAAGACCTGGTGTTTTCTAAGGAGTGGCTCAGTCTACAAAGGTTGAGAACCACTGTGCTAGTGAAAGTATCATATTACAAAAATGGAAACACACTTGTAGCTTCATTCCTGCTTTTACGTTGTGATTAAAAATGAATTACAATTCCCAATGCTAAGAGCTCTTCATAAAAAGAGTAAAGAAATGGTACTTTTTGGTTTTGTAACATAAAGGTATACTGACCAGGTTAGCATCCTGGTACTGAATAAAGCAGCAGGAATCACCTTGAAAAGGACATGAGATGACTAAAAATAGGAGTTACGCCAATTATTCTTGTTATAAAATGAATTTGCATGGGAGAACTATGCTTTAATACCACCTGTTCGTTACTGTAATGGCCAGAGAGATACCCATGAACTGATTTTTGGTTATACTAGCAGATTTTTTAAAATGACCTGAATATTCATTTTCAAGCTAGCAGAGATTAAATTGATATCTGACCTATTCAGTAACTTTCAAATAAGAATCTCTAATCTCATCACAATAGTTGCAAGGATTAAAGGAAATCACTGAATACTGTTATAGACAATAAGTTAGATGTTCTTGAGCATAAACAATTTTACTTTATTAATTTTTTTCCAGTGAAAATTTAAGCACAATTTAAAAAAAAGCCTACTTTTTCTCTGAAGGAGGTATCATTTCTGGTTCCACCACCCTGAAGGCCATTTTGTATCTCTTGAGTAGAAAATGTTTAAGAGCGTTATTCAGGGGACTTAGATACTCATCGAGGTGCCAATAACAAAGATCAGCATACAGTAAAAGCTCTGTTATCCAGCATCCTCCAGGAATGGGGGATGCTGGTCAGTCAAATATGCTGGTTAATCAAACGTGCACCGTCTGGTGCATTCCCCGGCTTCAGTGTACCGGGGGACAGGGAGGGGGGCCCCATGAGGTTGTTTTGCTCTGGGCTGTGGGCTGAAGAAGTGGCAAAGAAAAAAGCGGCTTGCAGTGGTGAAATGGGAAGTCCCCCGGAAGTGGTACTTTTGGTTTCACTTTTGCCGCATCCCAGTTAATACAGTTTTCCGGTGAATAATGTGCTGGTTAACACAGCTTTTGCTGTATTTGCCATTTCTGCACTGAGATCCTCACCATAAAGAATGAGACCTTAACACAACCTAAGAAAGAGAAGTAATGAGACACCCTAAATAAATTTATTAGACGCATGGGGTTTACAGTGGTGAAGAGAAGCATATGTGCATATCTGGAACTGTTTAAAAGCACACTATCCTAGAGACAGAGAATCTAAGACCCTTTCCAAGTATAATCTAAATGTATCCCCCAAAAGTCTCCTTTAAAACCATCCTGTCTACCAGTATAGCCAACTGAGAATTTCCTTCAAAATGTCATACTTCCTGTACCATTGTTACACCTTTAAGTACAGAATACTGGTTGGAGATCAGATCAGAAGAGTAACTTGACTATTTGGACTGTAGTTTTTTTCTGTGACATATTGCACATAGTTTGGGACCCTCAGGGTGCATCTACACATGCAGGCATGTGCGCTGGAAGCATCTCAAATAGGAGCAGCACAAATTTGAGCCAGGGATTTTTGCCTCAGCACATGGGCCCGGACATCCACTTTGGTGTGGGGCAAGTCATGCCACTTGGGACAAAACAACTCTGCCCACATGCTTCTGGATCTGCAGCTGGGGGAGCTAGAGCCTGGAGCCAGCACCTGTGGGCGGTGTCTACCAGCTCCTTGGATGCCTTTGAGAACCAGTGGGTGCGGCCTGGGGGGCTCTGCTTGGTATGTGTCCCCCCCCCCACCAGAGCACTTACTTTCATGTTTTGACCCTTTGACACCCACATCACTCCTGTCCTGTTTTTTCCTAAGTTGTTCCATGAAATCCATTCATCCATTAGGCCCCATATAGTGGGGGCTACTACTTTACCGGGTGGGTCTTAGAGTCCATAGCAATTATATATATATCTCCATATATCTATATACATACATACATACATACATACATATATATATATATATATATATA